CTATTGTCCTAGAGCATTTATGTACCAAATTTTATTCAAATGTGATGATCAGTAATTGAGATATCAGTGTTAATTAATTAGGGTATTTAGGTGATTAATTTGCATAAATATTTACAATAAACTAATTGGATCTCTGCATAGTTCTAGATTCATTGAAATGTGATGATGAGTACTCTTTAAAAGTTTCATTAAACATAGAAACAATTAACTAATTATGCAAATTAGGTAATTAATATCCACAATTATTTACCCTAAAACTAATCAGGTCTCTGCATAGTCCTAGAAGATCTATGTAGCAAGTCTCATTGAAATATGATGATCAGTGCTTGAGATATCAGGCAAAAAACTGAAAATTGATTAATCATTATGCAAATTAGATAATTAATATCGCACAGATAATTACCCAAAACTAATCAAATCTACGCATTAGTTTGGAGCATCTGTGTGCCAAGTTTCATCAAAATCCAATGAGTAGTTCTTTAGATATTAGTGGAACAGTCATGGAACAGCTAAAAATCAGCTAATTATCGTGCAAATTAGGTAATTAATATGCATGCATTTTTACCAAAACCTAATCAAATCTGCGCATTGGCCAAGATCATCTATGCACAAAGTTTCATCAAAAAATAGTGTATGGTTGTTGAGATATCGATGGAACGAACAGACCGACAGACACACACACACACACACACACACACTAACTGCAAAGGGAGTCAAAAACGGCATTTTATGTTTTTATGGAAAATAAAATAAAAGTTTCATTTACAGTAAAAAATAGGTTTTTACACTTCACAGATAAAACAAATTCCTAAATACATTTTTTTTGATAATTTGAGTTTAAGAATCAAACTTGGAATTGCTTACAAATGTCAACATTTAATTTGGAAAATGCTTTATACGCTTACAAAAAATCTTTGTACAAATTACGAATGAATAAAATAGCTGATTACAAAATTCATTAATCCTATGGTTTTACTTTAACATACATAAATATGAATAATGGTGATTGCTTTACTCAACAAAAATGCAATAATTATTATTTTTTGGAGGCAAGTTGACAAATTTATGAAAAAGAACACAACTTTTATTACTAGCAACTGTAAAATTCCATGACAGTTTTCATGGGTTCAATGGTTTACCATAATTTTTAAATCTAGTGAGTAACTGATTTTTATAACCCTGAATGGAATTATTAAATATCAAATAAAAACTGAAATGTTATTACTGGTAAATGAGAAGGCAAAAACAGACATATGGCAAAGAACAAGGAGAGTGTCAGATACAAATACTGATAACCTCTATCGTATAGATTAACTAAATTTCATACATCTTTCATCAAAAACTTTTGTTACCTTGTAAACATTCATAATTTTTCAAATATTTGTTCAGACGATAGAAAATTATGGCCATTTTGCCCCAAATTAACAAGCCATGCATGGCATAGTCCCTGTTAGTTATTGAATTTAAGATAAATAGTTTTGTTTATAGCAATATAGCTGGAACATAAACATGTCAGGAATACGATTTTTTAACATTAAAATGATTGACATTTGTATCTGATTGTCAAACAAGTACATATTGAGAGATATTGCTCTGGAACAGCATTAATTAAAACAAAATCAGCCATTTTGAATAAATGTATAATGAATAATTAAAGTTTGAACATAATCAGTCAAAGCATGGCAGAGATATGGCACTAGAGCTGCATTCATTAATACAAAATGGCCACCAGTCGGCCATTTTAAATCCGATCTGAAAAATAAAATGATGTGCATCAGGAATCCATAATGTTTAATGTATGTACCAAGTTTGATATTTGATGATTTTTTAGCACAAAAACGGCCACCATTTTGAATCGGATCATCAAACCAATAAATCTGTATATCTATGACATGATTTATAATGAATATTTAAAATTTTAACATAATCAGTTTAAGCAAGATATGGCACTACATTGTACAACCACATTCATTAAAACAAAATGGCTGCTAGTCGGTCATTTTGAATCTTACATGAATCTGAAAAACAAAATGATGTGCATCAAGGTCCTATAATGTCCAACATATATACAAGGTTTGAACAAAATCCATCTGTAAACAGCTGGGAAATGCTTGATTTTGATGATTTTTTAGAACAAAAATGGCCGCCATTCGGCCATCTTGAATCAGATCGTGAAACAAATTGATGTGCATATGTATAATATCATGTATGATGTATGTGTGAAGTTTGATTGTGATTAGACCAGGCATTTCTAAGATACAGGTCCGGACGCAGCACAGAGGTCAAAACCCCGTTTTCGAACTGTGTCTGAACGGGGACTACCGGTAATAAAGAGTATATGATGTAAATTAAAATGCACAACATTTGGTGACAGGCAAATAAAACTGTCAATGAGAAAACATGGCAACCATTAAAGCATGGAAGGCACTAACGGAAGGAGCCACAACGCCCATCAAGTGGCCACTTATGCCTCTTAACTGGCTTATTTCCTTTTGTTTCAACCCAAGTTAATCCTAATAAGGACATTGTCCAGCTCATCTTTGATGTCCATGATAGTTTGCGATTGTTTACAACACAAGTAACGAGTTAGCAGAATATGATACAACCTCACTGATGTTTAACGTGACCATAACATATATGCGCATTATGAAACTACAGCCATCACACATGAGCACTCAGTTTTTTTAGGTGCGAAAGGACAAAATATGCATTTCACAACCGGAAATTCAAGAGATGAACTTTTGATTTCACGGATTTCACATGTTTTCATAATTAGCAATTGTAACAAGAACAAGATTTCGAGCGGCTACAACAAAAATTCATAAGAACTCCTAAAAAATATTATCGCAAAGAAAGTGTCTAGGCATGCCCTTCTTTCGATACTATCTTTTCTGGTGGTGTTCGCCGATGCCCGGTGGTTGAAAATTTCCAACAGTTTTGGGCGTCAAATCCACGCACTGACAATGGTACCATTGAATAATGCAATCGTTATTGTCACAGACAATCATTGATTATGTCTCATTATCATTACAAATACAGAAGATTCATGATAGTTCATCAGTTCTTCTTCAATTAATGTTATATCTGCCAATTTTTCATTAAAATTCGCCAAGATCTCCAGAAACAACATTCCAACTAGACGTCATTTTCAATCTTGTGCATGCACAGTTCATCTATTGCTACCAAACATGCTCTGAATATTACCGAATGCTCGAGATTAGCGTAACCTATTGTAAGAAGGTGCCAAGAGCTAACAAGAACCAATGTTTGTGAACAAACATTGACAAAAGATCATAGGGTAAAACTGAAACAATAGTGTTGTGGCTCCTTCAGTTAGTACCTTCCATGATTAAAGTGATAGACTCAACAAACAAATAATGCAATAATGGACCACAGGTAACAAAATACACTGCTGCTTCTGTTGCTCACAAGACTTACAGACTGCAGTATATTGTAATAAGCAATTTACTTTATTATGTTATGACAAAAGGTAAGAGTACCAATTAAATATTAATCATATTTTAATTATTATTATTAATTTTTTATTTTTCAAGTTAATGCCAGTAAATAATTGATTTTTCACCCTTTCTTCCCATCTAAGTAGAATGCCTGCAGAGTTATTGCTCTCAATGATGTACGTCCTTGCTCTTTAACCAGCATGTTTTTGTATAATGACAGACAATCGTGTTATGTATCACTTCTTATATCCCATGCAGATATGGATGTGTTGGAGCCAAGGTGAGGAGATCAATGTGAAACTATCAGCTATAAAGATGAAATACATCCAATACAATGATTTACACTGCATTCTGCAGGGCAGTAGAAAGGCCAAAAACAATTTAGTTTCTGGTAGTTGAAAAGGTCAGCAACAATATTTTTTGGTTTTCATTACATTCATGACATGCCCTAAAAACCATAATATAACTAGGTAGGAAGAAAGCCTTCATGGCAGTTTGAATTTCTTGACCTAATTTAATATTTTTTAATAGAGAGCTTGTCATTGAAGTCAAGGTGATCCCCAAAGGACAACAGATTTTATTATTATTGGTAGGTTGAGAAATATATTTAAGAAACCTTCTTATCCATGAGATATTCAAGGGGGTGATGTTAGGAGTGGGAGGGGGTGTATGATTTATTGAAATAAAATTGGCAGTAGGAACAAC